GTCTTACCTGCTCCCTGAATCTGCGAACCTGTACCCTGTAAGTTGCTGACCCGGATTGTACCTGCCCACTCTGTATTCTCCTGCTCTGACCCTTGGCTTGCCTGACCTCTCTCCCGGATGCCCCCTATTGGACCTGATACTCTGTTACTGACCTGGCGTGTGACCCGACTATTCTCTGCCCTCCGCTTTGTACTGCACCGTCCCCATGGCTACCGACCCGGCTTGTCTGACCTCGCATTTTACTCAGCCATCCATCCATCCCATCGGGGTCACCCGACCTCCTCATATCAGGCTCTCCCCTATTGGAGCCCGTGGCGAACACCCCTACCACTGACGGGTGTACTCAGTACTCGCGACCTGGTCTCGGGGTACTCCAAGTCCATCCCCACCATCAGGGGCCCTGGCGAACAAGTACTCTGGGGCTTAGATTCCGCGCTCTGGGGACACCTGACCAGTGGAGTGCTAGTGGTGCCGTCAGGCGGTCCGTTACAGGTAGTCTGCCTGCCAATTTTCCATGCCGGGGATGTGCACGGCGGAGAGAGATGGTACATGACGTTCCGCCCACCTGAGAATGCAAGAGGCCTCCAGCCAGCGACACCACCACCACACTCTGTGTCTCCCCCCTTCGGTGAGTGACACAGGCCACTGCTGAGGCACTGTCAGACTGGATTTGGGCCGGGTCCCCCTGAAGACGTTCCGTCCACTGTTCCAATCAGAGCCTGATCGCCTGAAGCTCCAAGACATTGATTGGTAATCGGGACTCCTCCAGCGCCCATTGACCCTGGGCCGAACTTGAAAGTATGGAACTGAGCATACGGAACTGCTTCGAAGGCAGAGACCATCAGTCCCAAGATTTGCATGCAACAGCAAAGGGAGGGCCACCTGTGGGACAGCAACAAGCAAACCACCAATTAAAGCTTCCATAGCTTGTCCAGCGGAAGGAACACCTTGGCCAACGCTGTGTTGAGAGGCAGACCCAGATACTCCAGCTTCCTGGTTGGGGTCAGAGTGGATTTCTGGATATTCAGGATCCACTCAATCTCTTGCAAGGTGCTGATCGTGATCAACACATCATCCCTCAAGACCGAGTGAGACTCCGCCCTCAGTAGAAGGCCGCCTAGATAACAAATCATAGCAGTCCCCTGTTGTCTGAGCAAGGTCAGGACCGGAGCCAGCACCTTGGTGAAAAACCCAAGAGGAGTGGAGGCGAGAATAAAGGGTAGCACCACAAACTGACAATGCTCTTCTCCCACCACAAAGTGAAAGAAACGCTGGTGTCCGGTAGAGATGGGGATGTGTAGGTAGGCATCCTTGATGTAGATATTTGCCAAAAAATCTCCCTGATGAAGGGAGGCCACCATGGACCGAATGGACTACTTTTTGAATTTCTGCACATGCACAAAGCAGTGCAGAGGCTTAAGATCCAGGACTGGCCGAAACCGTCCTTGCTTTGGAATCATAAACAGGTTGGAGTAGAACCCCCAAAACAGTTCTGAATCTGGGACTGGAACAATCACCCCTTGACTCAGCAAATCCTGCACTGCCCATATAAGGCCTGCAGGCGAGTTGGAGAAAGGCACAGGTTGGAAGAAAAAAACCTCTCTGGAGGACAAGACTGGAATTCTATTTTGTACCCAGACAGAATCAGCTCGTGAACCCACTAATCGGAAATCATGGAGGTCAACGGGGCAGCAAAGTAGCGTAGCGAAGACGACCCCCCACCCTGGACTCCAGGGATGAGTCACACACAGACTTAAGTTCCCCCGTTCCGTGAAAGCTGGGGGAACTTGCTCGCCCCCCTCCCCCCAGGTCATGGCAAAGGAGTTTGGCCCATTCAGTGAGGGTCTGGGACACCAAGACAGTGGCCAAAACCAGTTGAAGAGCAGAGCCAGCAATAGCGATTATCAGAACATCATGCGGGCAACTAACTCCGGCTTCCAGTCTGCCGGATTCTTAAAAGGATGGAGACTCCTCCACCAGTATCATGGTTGCTTTACTCAACCTGGAAATAGGAGGATCCACAACAGGTGGTGCAGTACACTTCTTCAGAAGAGTTTCATCGAAGGGATAACACACGGTAAACCGTTTAGGGACCACAAAGGGCCTCTTAGGACATTCCCAATCCTTGTAAACAAATTTTTCAAAATAAAGAGGATAAGGGAACACCTTTGCAGCATGCTGTGACTTGTGTGTGCCAAAAGGGACAAACACCTCTACGACCGCCCCAGAAGCATCCTCCATCTTTAAGGTTTATTGCAGATAAGTGCGTCCACCAGCGCCTTTTCACACGCAACAGCAGTGGCAGAGGACTCGTCCTCACTGTTGGAAAGGTCGGGAACCTCGTCAGCAGGACATGCGGGCAGGCCCGCATCCGCAGAACCGGACTCAGAATCTGAAAAAAGCCGATGAGGCAGAAGAGGGTGGTGGTCACTTCTCGCTTGTCTTATGCCCTAACACCACCTCCACCCAGGAAACAAAAAAGACTACAGGACCGCTGTCAGTGTGTCGATGGGAACAGAGGTCCCTGAGAGGCCCGCAGCCTCAAGGGGGAGGTCAAGTGGGGAAACATGGTCCTCAGGCTCCACCTCTGGAAGGGGACCCACAGGGAAGGCACTGCTAGGGAGACCCACTAGCCGCAAGGAACACCAAACCAAGTAATATAAGGCCAGCAGAGAGAGAATACCCCACCACGCACGTGCAGAGCTGCCACGCAGAACACACATCCAGCACAGTAGGACGCCCGGGAACAGCTGCCCATGTGACCCATATGAGCAGAGGTAGCAAAGAACCTGCTGCGGAACTACAAGAAAATGGCCACCAAAAAACCCCTGCCCACCAAAGCCCAGGCTCCTATTGGGCAATGCAGACACCAAAACATGGCCACCGGACTGTATGACTAAGCTGCTAGAGGAGAAAAGCCAGACCCCAAGAAAATGGCCGCTGTAGCCCCACCCCCCCCCCCCCCCCACCAGAGCCCAGGCACTAGCAAGACCTAATACATTGGAACAGGCTGCTGCAGGGCTACAAGAAAATGGCCACCGCTCGTGGCAGCAAGGTCTTTGGGAAGATGGCTGCTTGTAAAAGGACACAATAAGCCAGCCGAACCAGCCACAGGACCATGCAGCAGCATCACATGTCCCCCACCACCCCCACAGCAAGCAACATAACTTGTCAGAGCTTGAGGACAGCCTGGTACACAACGAAGGTAACTTCTAGCACCCAGAAGGTGGCCCATACCAAGATAGAGCAGTGGAGGGGGGCCCAGGAGCAAATTTGGCAATAAAAGGGGCATGGCAGGGAGGAGGGGACCCAGCAGGCCAATCATCCCAGGGAGCACCTGCATCTTGCACCTCACCCAGAAGGGAGGGCGGGAAAAATGTTACTTACTGTAACGGAGGGTAAGCAGGACAAAACACATAATGCAGACAGCAAACACTTAAAGATTTATTAAAACAGACAACAGTCACTCAGTGGAGAGTAGTGCAGGGAGAGAGAGTCCAAAATACTTGTAATCCAGCCCCGGTGGGCAAAGTTAAAGGTTCTACAGCAATGTGTAATCCAAGAGGCAGTTCATAAGCAGTCAGATAGCACAAGGGGAGCATACACTCACGCAAAGCTGATGCGATAGTCTCAGGCAGAGCTGACAGCATTCCAGGCAGGGCTGATGTAGCTTCTGGGATCCCCCTTCCTCCAATGGAGCTCAGGCAGAGCCGGGGGGCCACTAGAGTCCAACTGGACCCCTCAGTGGTTGCCCAGCAGAATGGCACAATAAGAAAGACCAGCACTGGCCTCTTAAACCCCCTGAGCAGGAAGAGAGGCAGAGGGGGGTCATTAGCAGGTGACAATGAAGAGAATGGAACTACAGTAATTTAATTTGTAGCTGTACACAGAAAGGACTGGTTGGGCAGGATAATTAGTGGGGGGAGATACATGAATACAAAAGTAAGGCACTAATTAGGGATGTATACACTAATTGAATTTGGGACCTTTTGTGGAGGGGCGAATTAATTACAGCTAGGGGCCTTTGGCACACAGGGATTAGGAACAAGGAATTAATACCTGGAACTAGCTGAGACCCATATCGTGACACTTACCAAACAAGGGAGGCCGCAGGTATGCTCCAAAGACAGAACCACCTCTCCACCGAAGTGGGGGGGCTGTCGGCCAAGGTAGCGCTGTGACGCAGACGTTTAGATCCTGGTCATATGCACCCCTGCGAGGCATTTAACCCACCAGCTGCCCCGGACCTGGGTGGGGCATGTCGCGACCCACCCAGCGCTTGGCTAGGGTCTGCATGCGCTCGTTGGCCAGGCTGGGATGACCACTAGATCTATATTATTCAGCCCGTCACCCAGCCCAACTGTTGATTGAAGATCCCCACAGGAAAAAACCTAGGAAAAACAGAGGGAAAAAAACAAAACCCAAAAAAAAAACCCAAAATCCTATGGAAACAGGTCCCAGCAGGGAGCAAGGACACTAGGCAGAAAAAAACTGGATTGCCTATGCAGAGAGGGGGATTATATCAGCCAGGACTGCCCATGGGCGGTGCAGAGTTTCTTTTTTCTGCCTAGTGTCCTACTCCTGTGGGTGGCAATATAACCCTATGGTCGAGAATGAAAGACCCTGTGTCCGTCAATGAAAGAAAGAAAAATTAATATTTGTGTCATTCTCAAAACTTTTGGACAGGGCTTCAGTGAGACTTTAAAGGGGAATGCTTGGTCAAATAAAATCTGTATACAGTAGAAAGGCTGACTTTGCTGTCCTCCCCTTATGGATACACTAGATCATTGGCTGCCTTGCTAATTCAATGGCTTCTGTATTTTATTTAGTCCCCAAAGTATACAAATAACAAAACCTGACTTCACTCTGAACACGATAATCTTTATACTTCCAGATTGGTGTTTTAAATGTGCTGAAGCTTGAGACAGAGAAACCTGGAAGCTGCCATTGCTTGCTATCTACAGGTTTCCTTTAACGGTTTCAAACACAGAAGGGTGTACCTTTGCTTGTCTTCATCCAGGCACTTTACAATAGCATTTCTCTGCTCAATGAGTGTCACCAGCTCTTGCATTAATACCCGCTCTCTTTCCTTATCCTCATCCAGCCAGTCTTTCTCTGTAAGGAATTATAGATGTATTTGTGAAAAAGAAACTCACATTGGTATCTTAATTACTGTATTTTTCGCTCCATAAGACGCACTTTTTTCCCCCCAAAAAAGGGGGGGAAATGTCAGTGCGTCTTATGGAGCGAATGTAAAGCGGTCGGTCCGGTATTTCTGCTGCCACCATGTCAGAATATCGGGCCGGCCACTCAGCTCTTCTCTCCTGCAGGATTACCTGTTCCTCGCTCCAGCGCTGCAGTCTTCCCGCAGCGGCTTCTGTGACAGCCGGGTGCCCACTGTGCATGCGCGAGAAGCGCTGCGCTTTGTGAATGGTCCGGTGTCTTCTGGGACACATGACAGGTCCCAGAAGGCTCCGGGCCATTCACAAAGCGCAGAGCTTCTCACGCATGCGCAGTGGGCACCCGGCTGTCACAGAAGCCTCTGCGGGAAGAAGAAGGAAGGACAACTCCGCGGAAGTTGTTCAGGTACCTGCTCCCCCTCCCTGCCCAAAGGTCCGCAGTCTCTGGTAATCTCCTTTACTGTCTGCAGTCTCTGGTCATCTGTACTATGTCCACAGTCTCTGGTCGTCTCCTGTACTGTGTCCGCAGTCTCTGGTCATTCCCTGTACTGTGTCCGCAGTCTCTGGTCATTCCCTGTACTGTGTCCGTAGTCTCTGGTCATTCCCTGTACTGTGTCCGCAGTCTCTGGTCATCTACTGTACTATGTCCACAGTCTCTGGTCATCTACTGTACTATGTCCGCAGTCTCTGGTCATTCCCTGTACTGTGTCCGCAGTCTCTGGTCATTCCCTGTACTGTGTCCGCAGTCTCTGGTCATTCCCTGTACTGTGTCCGCAGTCTCTGGTCATTCCCTGTACTGTGTCCGCAGTCTCTGGTCATTCCCTGTACTGTGTCCGCAGTCTCTGGTCATTCCCTGTACTGTGTCCGCAGTCTCTGGTCATTCCCTGTACTGTGTCCGCAGTCTCTGGTCATTCCCTGTACTGTGTCCGCAGTCTCTGGTCATCTCCTGTACTGTCCGCAGTCCTCTGGTCATCTCCTGTACTGTCCGCAGTCCTCTGGTCATCTCCTGTACTGTCCGCAGTCCTCTGGTCATCTCCTCTGTACTGTACTGTCCGCAGTCCTCTGGTCATCTCCTGTACTGTCCGCAGTCCTCTGGTCATCTCCTGTACTGTCCGCAGTCCCTGATCATCTCCTGTACTGTGTCCGCAGTCCCTGATCATCTCCTGTACTGTGTCCGCAGTCCCTGATCATCTCCTGTACTGTGTCCGCAGTCCCTGATCATCTCCTGTACTGTGTCCGCAGTCCCTGGTCATCTCCTGTACTGTGTCCGCAGTCCCTGGTCATCTCCTGTACTGTGTCCGCAGTCCCTGGTCATCTCCTGTACTGTGTCCGCAGTCCCTGGTCATCTCCTGTACTGTGTCCGCAGTCTCTGGTCATCTACTGTACTATGTCCGCAGTCTCTGGTCATCTACTGTACTATGTCCGCAGTCTCTGGTCATCTACTGTACTATGTCCGCAGTCTCTGGTCATCTCCTGTACTATGTCCGCAGTCTCTGGTCATCTCCTGTACTATGTCCGCAGTCTCTGGTCATCTCCTGTACTGTGTCCGCAGTCTCTGGTCATCTCCTGTACTGTGTCCGCAGTCTCTGGTCATCTCCTGTACTGTGTCCGCAGTCTCTGGTCATCTCCTGTACTGTGTCCGCAGTCTCTGGTCATCTCCTGTACTGTGTCCGCAGTCTCTGGTCATCTCCTGTACTGTGTCCGCAGTCTCTGGTCATCTCCTGTACTGTGTCCGCAGTCTCTGGTCATCTCCTGTACTGTGTCCGCAGTCTCTGGTCATCTCCTGTACTGTGTCCGCAGTCTCTGGTCATCTCCTGTACTGTGTCCGCAGTCTCTGGTCATCTCCTGTACTGTGTCCGCAGTCTCTGGTCATCTCCTGTACTGTGTCCGCAGTCTCTGGTCATCTCCTGCACTGTTTCCGCAGTCTCTGGTCATCTCCTGTACTGTGTCCGCAGTCTCTGGTCATCCCCTGTACTGTGTCAGCAGTCTCTGGCCATCTCCTGTACTGTGTCCGCAGTCTCTGGTCATCCCCTGTACTGTGTCCGCAGTCTCTGGTCATCCTCCCGTCCTATGTCCGCAGTCTCTGGTCATCCCCTGTCCTATGTCTGCAGTCCATTGGTTCAGAATATTTTTTTTTCTTGTTTTTCTCCTCTAAAACCTAGGCGCATCTTATAGTCAGGTGCGTCTTATGGAGCGAAAAAATACGGTATGTTCTCCCAGATTTACACTCATGTCTGAAAAAATCAAACTTTTCAGTAAAACCTACTTACCTATATAATCCCATTGCAAAGATCTGCAGCTTGTCCAGTGATCCACGCATTTCAATTACTGCTTACGGCTACATTTGCATGGGTGACTAGCACCGGTGCAAATTTCAGGGCAGGAATCTGCTGATCCTAGCAGCGGTTTCTGCCACCTGTGAGCGACTAGCTGCGGCCACTAAGCCCTGTACACTTCAATGACAAGTCGGTGGCAGCTGCAGCTATCCTTTGGGTGTGTATCCAGCAGTAATCACCACTGGTATTTTCTGGCCAGGCGGACAGCTACATATAATTGCAGCAGCAGCAGCTGCTGACCTGTCATTGATTTATTCAGGGCTCAACAGCCACAGCTAGTCGCCCAGAGGTGACAGAAACAGCTTCAGCAATCAGCATATTCCTGCCCGTCATTCACACTGGCACTAGTTGTCTGGTACAAACGTAGCCTTAAGTGTTTCCCCACTAACATTAGCAAAGTCAACACATGATTCTGACAGCTATAGCAGCAATAGTAGATCACTGGTAACTATTTTTCGATACATAAAGTATCCGGAAACCCTAAAATTGCAGCAATAGTTTTTGTTAAAACTTTATTAAAAAGGGACACTAAACTTGGTCCTAACTCCAAAAAATACCTTCTATTGCCCTCAGCCTCCTTCAAATCTCCAGATTCTTTTTTTTTTTTTGCTCCTTTGATATGACTTCCTCTTAGAGGGTAGCTACATTCACGCTCCATGGTCCTACTGTATGTAAGAACTTAGCCACCTTCTCTTATTTTCTCACACAAAGATAAACCAGGGACTAAGGACTTCTGGGATGTGTAGTGTGCAAAGAGCAGAGCACCAGAACGCAACCAATGTGCACTATTGTTTCAACAAAGGTAAGTGAGGGAAACAAAAAGGAGAGGTTCAGGAACTCACAGAAGAGGTTACAAGGAGACAGAAAGACACAGTAATAAGCAATTTCGTGAAAAAATAGATTAGAGGGCCATTAAGTAGTGGATATGCATGAACAATGTTTGGAGAATAGTGTTTAGTGTCACTTTTAAGTTGTACAATCCACAAATTAAAAAATTAAGCTTTATACATATACACAATATTTCATACATACCTGGTTTGTTGAGAAGACATCGAAGCTCATATTCTACATCGGCCTGACGCTGCTCTAGGTCTTGCTGTTTGGTCCTACAGGAATCAAATATACAATATAAAAACCAATTTAACATCCACAGTAGTATTATACACAATATGTACTGAGATCAACTCACGTGTATACAAGTTCAGACTCCCTTCTCACCAGGGCATGTTTTTCTTGAATCAGCTTGAACCAGTCTACCAACAAACTGTCCTCTTCTGCCTCTGTGTGAACAAAACAGAATTAAACATTGGTCTCTTTTAATAGAAGATTTCAGCACTCATCTCGCTTCTTACCATCCTCCATCCTTCGTAGCTTTTGTTCAAGTTCCACCCCACGTCTTTCTAGCTCATCTAGACGCAGCTCAATCTCCTCCATTTCCATTTGGATCTCATGTTCTGGGATGTAGTCATCAGCCTGAACCTGGTCATGGAAATAGGTAAGTTACTGAAAGTGAAAAAGAAATGAGTCACGGAACATACATTTGGATCTGTACTGAAAATTCAAATCTAATGATCAGTTCCTTGCATCCCAAGCCACTACAAAAATATAGAGGCTGGATGGTAAAGGCATAGAAGGGGATTGGGGGAGGGGAGGGGGATCTATGAGTGTAGAGGTTGTCAAACCTGGTCCAGAGGCCAGAAGGAGTGCAAGTTGCATAAGCAATGGCACCAGCTCACTCAGTAGCAAGGTGGAAACTGGAATATGCCAAAAGTCAATCCAGTAGAATCACGGAAGATTTGTATCAATTGATTGTGGGCCAAGGCAATTTATACACACGCCACCCACCCAAATTCAGCTCTTGCCAGACAAAGCACATGGAAACCTATCACGGTTTCTGAATTTAAAACTCTTTTTAGGCTCAACCCTCAACATGGGCATTACAGAAAATAATGAATTGCAGTCATATCGGTCCACAGAGCCAATTCATGATATGCCCACGTTCCCTGCTGTTACATATCTGCCCAACATGGACCAGCAATGTACTCGTATGTCACTGCAGCTACAGGCATCATCCTGGTATCCTTTTTTTTTTTATAGCTGGCAGTCGGCTTTCATGTAAAAGCAATCCTAGTGGCCAATTAGCTGCTGAATTGTTTTTACGAGCAGTGGGTAGGGACATTCTCCCACCCCCACCCCCCCCCCCCTGCTGCAGCTTTCCACAGTTTTCTTGGGCTCTCCTGTCCCACAGGGGAATCTGAGAATGCAGCCAGCAGTTCCGCTGGCTGACCATAGAGCTGGTCAGAGACCAGAATGGCTCCAATTATCCCTATAGTCTAAGAAATCGGAAGCTATGAGCATTTCATCACTTCAGTTTTGCAGGATATAAACAGCGTCATTTGTAAATTGTGAAAGCCTCTGATCACACCGATCTTGGTGAGATTAGATAATGTAAGGGCAGAGGAGATATCTAGGAGTCTGAGAGACCCCAGATTTCTCAAAAAAGAATCTATTACAATGCCCACTGAAGTTATAGGGGATATTTGCATTCCCTGTGGTAGCATTAAAAGTGATAAAAAAGAAAAAGATGAAAGGGACAGTGTAAAAATAATTTAAAAAATCAAAATAACAAAAAAAAAGGCACCCTTGCTCCTCTGCACACGCGCACCTGCATGTGCAAGCGTTGACCCCGTGCAGGAATGTAAACAGCAATGCACCATGCATGTGAGGTATCAACGTGAAGGTCAGATCGAGGGAAGTAATTCTAGCACTACATCTCCTGAGTAAATACAAATTGATGACCTGTAAAGGCTTTTAAAGCAACGCTTATCGCTAATAAAAATGTATGTACTTTGTAGCCATTGCACGGGCATGCGCAATTTTAAAGCATGTCATGTTTGGTATCTATTTACTCAGCGTAACATCATCTTTTATATTTTATCAAACAATTGGGCAATATATTGTGTTTTTTGCATTAAAATTCTAAAAAGTGTATTTTTCCCAAAATATTTTCGTTTGAAAAATCGCTGCGCAAATACTGTGTGCGGTGAAAAATTTCAACACCAACAGTTTTATTCTCTACAGCCTCTGCTTTAAAAAATATATATATAATGTTTGGGGGTTGAAAGTAATATTCTAGCAAAAAAAGTTTTTCATGTGAACGAAAAGTGTCAGAAAAGGCTTGGTCTTCAAGAGTGGGTGATGTGTGGCATAAGCTTCTAATGATGGCCCTGAAATGCCAGGATAGTAGAAGCACCCCCTCCAAATGACCCCTTTCTGGAAAGTAGACACTTCAAGGTATTTGCTAAGAGGCATGGTGAGTATTTTTCAGATCTCATTTGTTGCCATGTGATTTTGGAAAACAAAGAAAGAAAACAAAAAAATGTTTTTTCCTTCTCTTTTTCAAAACCTTGTGACAAAAATGATATCTGTAAAATACTCACCATGCCTCTTATCAAATTCCTTGGGGTGTCTATTTTCCAAAAAGGGGTCATTGGGGGGGGGGGGGGGGGGGGGGGGGGGGGGGTGTTTGTACTATCATGGCATTTTAGAGCCTCCGAAACTGTGATAGGTAGTGGGGAAGTGATATGAGGAAATACGCCCTTTGAAAACCTAAAAGTGGTCATTGGATTTTGGGGGCTTGTATGTAGCTAGGCTGCCAAAAAATCTCTCACATGTGGTATCCCCATACTCGGAAGAAGTAGGAGAATGCGTTTTTTTTGGGGGGTATTATTCCATATATACCCATGGCATGCATGAGCAATATATCATTAAAATGACAACTTTGGCAACAAAAAAAAAACATCAGCAGGTTCTTTTTTTTTTTTTTTACACAAAGGTCAGAGCGCCGGCCATTTTCGTACTCCTTTTTTACCTTATGTATTTTACTCCAAGTCGATTGTTCTACTGATATTTGCAATAAAGTACTACACTATTTCTAGGCTCCTGTGGTGAGCTATTGTTCTAGGAGAGATCCCATCTTCAGTTTGCCTGTGGCGGAGCAGTCCATTCTAGAGGCTTCTGGCTGTTTCTCATCTCCTCATGTGATGGCTGTTTCTCATCCCCTGAATTGATATACATGCTATTTTACCAGTAGTTTTCTGGTGCGTGTACATCTGGCACAGGTGGTGGATTCTCTTACTGGATCCCTTCACAATTTATCCTTTACCATGATTGCTGTGTCTTGTAGTCCCACCATGATTACTGTGCCTTGTAGTCCCACGAATACTACTTATATATGGATTTTTGAGTTTCACTTTATATGCTTCACTTGACAGTTTCACAATATTACGTTAACTATTTAGCACTGCACTTTATACCACAATTTATAAGGAGTTGTTACCTTTATCTCTGTGCATTATTAATTTAGTTAGCGCTGTTCTTTATACCATATTGTTAGTGCAACCTGCCCACATAGGGGACCATTCTGTGACTATAACACAAAGTGCAAAATCACAGAACACTCTGAGTTTCTCAGTAACATGATGCACACAATTTGGAATATAGCACAAAAATCAAAACAAGATAAAGCCCTGAGCCCTGGTGACCAGAAAGTGAGGAAGTTAATGTTTTGGGGGTTAAATTACTCCATTTCTTTAAGAGTTCTTTCCTATCTAGATGCAGATCTGCCAGGTAAATAGGAGTTCTGACCATACTGCACAGGCCCAGACACTCTGCCATATGTTCCTTCTTAGCAAGAGTTAACGTAAGATAAACAATATCGCAGTTTTTTTCTCTCACCTTCCGTTTGATAAGAGGAAATCCATGCCCTGGTGCAGGTCGATGTGCAGTTTTTGGTCCTTTCTTACTTGTTTTATTTGTAGGAGAAGTGATTGGGGAAGGCTTTCTATTGAAGGGGTTTTCTTTGCATGTAGGCTGAGAAAAGAGTAAACCACAATTGACAGGTGTAACTGAAAACTTGTTTTTGTTTTAATAAACGAGTACAGGCTTTTTCTGCATAACATTTGTTAATGCTCAAACAGATGTGTTTACCTTGCAAAGCATACTACACCCACAGACTTATCACACTGTTAAAAGCCAATACACATCTGGTACTGCTCACAGCTCTAACCATTGTACTTTTTATGTATTTTCCCCCAGATTTAGTAGCTTTATACATAAAATTAGAAACCTTTTCAAAAGTAGGTATAAAAAAAGGGGAGGTCTGATGGATTACACAAACTATATTGCCAAAAGTATTGGGACACCCCTCCAAATCATTGGATTCAGGTGTTCCAATCACCTCCATTGCCAGAGGTGTATAAAATCAAGCACCTAGGCATGCAGACTGCTTCTACAAACATTTGTGAAAGAATGGGTCACCCTCAGGAGTTCAGTGAATTCAAGCATGGTACTGTGATAGGTTGCCACCTGTGCAATAAGTCCACCCATGAAACGTCTTTACTACTAAATATTCCACGGTCAACTGTTAGTGGTATTATAACAAAGTGGAAGCAACTGGGAACAACAGCAACTGAGCCACCAAGTGGGGTAGGCCATGTAAAATGATAGCAGGGTCAGCGCATGCTGAAGTGTACAGTGTGCAGAAGTCGCCAACTGTCTGCACAGTCAATAGCTAAAGACCTCCAAACTTTGTGTGGCCTTAAGATTAGAACAACAGTGCATAGAGAGCTTCATGGAATGGGTTTCCATGGCCGAGCAGCTGCATCCAAGCCTTACATTACCAAGTGCAATGCAAAGCGACGGATGCAGTGGTGTAAAGCATGCAACCACTGGACCCTAGAGAAGTGGAGACATTCTCTGGAATGATAAATAATGCTTCTCTGTCTGGCAATCTGATGGACATGTCTGGGTTTGGCGGTTGCCAGGAGAACGGTACTTGCCTGACTGCATTGTGCCAAGTGTAAAGTTTGGTGGAGGGGGGATTATGGTGTGGGGTTGTTTTTCAGGGCTTGGGCTTTGCCCCTTAGTTCCAGTGAAGGGAACTCTTAAGGCATCAGCATACCAAGACATTTTGGACAATTTCATGCTCCCAACTTTGTGGGAACAGTTTGGGGATGGCCCCTTCCTGTTGCAACATGACTGTGCACCAGTGCACAAAGCAAGGTCCATAAAGACATGGGTGAGCAAGTTTAGGGTGGAGGAACTTGACTGGCCTGCAAAGAGTTCTGAACTCAACCCAACAGAACACCTTTGGGATGAATTAGAGCGGAGACAGTGAGCCAGGCCATCTTGCCCGACATCAGGGCCTGACCTCACAAATGCGCTTCTGGAAGAATAGTCAGATATTCCCATAGATACATTCCTAATCCTTGTGGTCAGCCTTCCCAGAAGATTTGAAGCTGTTATAGCTGCAAAGGGTGGACCAACTCAATATTGAACCCTACGGACTAAGACCTGGATGCCATTACAGTTCATGTGCATGTAAAAGCATGCATCCCAACTTTTGGCAATATAGTGTATGTAAACTAGTACAATACAGTACAAAGAACAAACACTGCATATTTTCATACCAATTTTATTTTTCATTGATCCAGCTTAAAAGAAACAAAAAAAGTAAGAATTTGACAGTGTTTAAGTAAAATGGTAGATCATTGTCTTTTTAGACCTGTTCAAAAAGACACTGGACAGTATGTGCTGCCGTACAATTAGTTATTTTGTCTTTTTTTTAGACATATTTTTAGTAGAAATAATAGGATGTTTGACTTACCTGCAAATGCTATATCTTGAAGTACATGGAGTACTTTGAGAACTTGTATTAATAGATCATGGGTTATATGCAGGCTACCTTCTGATTATTGGATACCAGGAAAAAGAATGCACCCATATAACCCCGTCCACACAGTGAGATTCCAGTTATTTTTAGCAAACAATAGAAAGTGAACAAGATACAGGGGAAGGGTCTATATCCTATACAGTACTATAAGATAAGAAACTTACAGGTAAGTCAAAATTTCTATTATCTTGATTGTATAGAAAAGGACATGGAAATTCTATTCAGAGACCATGGGACATACCCAAGCAAAAAAAAGAGGGGTGAGCAAAAGCATAGCATAGCAGAACAGAACTGTCAATGGACCCACAAAAAGCAAGCATTATATAACTTGAACAAACATTTAAAATACTTCGATGCCATCTTAAAGCAAGTACTTTGCAGACAAAGCTTGTATCAGCCAAGGCCTTTTGTCTGGTACTTCTTGGAAAACTTGTTAACACAGGACAAGGTGATAGCCTTGAAAATCTGGGAAGCAGATGTTTGATGCTGCAAAGCCCAATAGATACCAACAGCCATGATGGAATGGGCCCTGATAGGGAAGGAGGCACTCTGTGCTTAGGGTGTAGGCCCTGGAGATAGGCTGTCTGATCCACTTGGAAATGAGGGCCAAGAAGAAGGACTAAAAAAGGACTTAGGCTTACAAATAGAGGCTGTGACTGCCAGGTAAACTCTGACAACCCTAACCAGCCACATCCAGGCAATATAGTGAAGGAAAGTTGGAAATGTGTATGTAGGCATCTTGTATATCTACTGCCAGAATTTCCCCTTGTCTGAAAAATACGACAGATTTAATTGATTCCATACAGAATTTCGGTACACAAAAAAAAAATCTATTCAGAGATTTTAAGCCCAGTTTGGGGTGGTTGCCCCCATAGGATTTTGGGACTGTTAAGAGGTGTGAATAGAATAAAAACATTCTTCTGGAGGAGCTGGTACAACCACCACTGCCTGAAGTTGGCACAAGACAGTCATTAACCTGGCAGACTGGAAGGTAAAAAGCGAGGTGGGAGCAGAGATAGAAACACTATTTTGTACTCCTTTGAAATGACAGATTGAACCCAGACGACCGGGATGTTGCCCATTCATTGTGAGGAGGGCTTCTAGGAAGGCATGGTGAACATGGGAGTCCAGGTCTTGCAACATAAGAAGGTGCTAAGCCTTGGTTTTGAAGTTGACGTCTGAGGAGAGTGAAAATATATTTCACTGAGCAGAAGTAGTAGCAGTAAGAGGAGACGTAAGCTTTTTCTTGTTGGGCAGGAGCACCTTTCCCCCAGTGACTTTCTAGATAAATTCAGCATGGGATTCACCACCAAAAGGCATGTACAGAAGCTGCTTTTTACAAGCAGGATCAGTGGACCAAGCCTTTAACCAAAAATCTTGAGCATATGCACAGAGAAAAGAGACCTTCTAGAGACTTGGCAGACTTCAACAGACTTCAACACAAAATAAGTCTGAGAACATCAGGTTCTTGGTCTATATTCATTTGTGTTGACCAGTTAGCAATTGTCTGGCAAATAGATATAGTAGCAGTAGCTGGATGAAGGGCTGGACCTGTAAGAGCAAATAAGGCCTTTAAAAAGGCTTCAAACACCTATCAACTGAATCTTTAAAAGTGTATACCCATTCAAGGTTTAATCAGTCCTCCTAGTGTAAACAATCAATCTGTGCATGTAATAGAACATTTTTTTGGACTTTGTGAGTCTCTTGGTGTTCACAGGGGCTTGTTTAGGCTGTGGAGAGTCAGGCAAAAACTAGTGCACAATGTGTCAATTAATGTGTCCACAGAAAAGAACATTTGGTGTGAAGCTGCAGCTGGTACCTTACAAAATGCAGGGAGGAAAAATCCTCTGAAGTGTCTGCTACAAAGTGAAGGTCCTCAATACGTTTCACCATAATATTCTCCAGGAAAGGAGGTTCAGCTTCTGATTCCTGAAGGGGGTCAGGGGGAATGGAGGATAAGTAGTGATTCTGGCCTCTGGAAACCAAAAGTTCTAGAAGTGCTGAGAGTTCTCCAAAGAACTCAGACATAGTTTCAGAAAATAAAAATGCAGAAAGAAGCACCAGACCAAAATCAGATAAAAGAATTCAAGATCATTTTAATAGTTAATAAAAAAGGTTATGTAAAAACATCCAATGCATTTTGGGGGCAACACCACTCCCCCTTCATCAGGGCTAAACACAGCATGAAACTTGGATGGACTTAAAGATCTATTATTAGAATGAGTATTGAACACTCCTCAAGGAGGAACAACCTGACAACAGTTGCTCAGCACCAGTGGCTGTTTATATATGACTTTTTTAAAAAATTAAAATGATCTTGGACTCTTATCTGATTTTGGTCTGGCACTTCTGTCTGTGTTTTTATGATCTGAGTTACTGTTGGGTGCCCTTCGACGGAAGGCTTGCTCTGTGGGAGCTGCCTTGCCAGATCTATTGAGTTTGTTTGATGTTTTCCTTCATCTGACTATACTTGCCAGTCTCAAAGTTCCCATGCCCGTTTGAGTATGTTGCCTAAGAGTTGCAGAGAAATCTGCTTTAAGCAGACAGAGCACATGTCTGAGATGAAGATAGAATCAGTTAAGGGGAGCAGTGTCCTAAAAGGACAACCCAGAAAAAAGGGATCAGGTATTAACCAGAGCACTGGTTTGAATTCTGTGTAGGCCATCTGCTGAACGCATGCTATTTGACCCCTTTTTCCCCAGATTCCCTGTGCCTGGGATCTGCCACTGCTAAGTGAGGGGATCCCCAGTTGAGTACTCACAATTGTGGAATGGATGGGGTTTTGTGTTCAGAAAAAGGAGCTGCTATAACCCATGACTGTGTTCCTGTGGCTGGGTCTCTGTAGAAGATGGCAGCAGAAATGCATTTGTGTATCTGTGCATTTTTGGGGGGAAAGGCGGGTGGGGATGTGTCATCTAGGAGGAGACCAAAACGGCATTCAGTGACCAAAGCAATCACTACAGCCTTACATCACATAGTGGAGTCCAGGTACAGTCCCCCAAGGTACACACCGATGGTAAGTGATCTGCCCAGGTCAGAAAGCAGTCAGATCTTGATAGTAGTTTAAGAGAAAAAAAATTGAATGGCTTAAAAAGGAAAACACATCTCTAGAGAAAAACAGGTCCATCACCTAAGGACACTAGTAAAAACTAGAGACTCACAAAGACAGTGGTTTTGTACATATTTTTGTCCATGCCAAAAGATTCCTGAGATAAAAGGGACTACTGAACAGGAAACTGTATAGTTTGTAAGCACTCTGAGCCAGCTGAAAACATTAAAGGGAAGGACACTTAGAAAGAACCAATGCACATTTTGACTAAGAAGGTGGATCAACCTGAATATGCAGTGATAATTAAGCTACCCCGCATGCATATGTAATAACACAAAACAGTAAAAATATTTTTGGGTAATTAGTATAAAGTAACTCCAGCTTAATATTTTTTTACATTGGATAGATTAATGATAGGCTAAGTCATTTGTTGGGTTCCTGTTTTGTCTGAGGCTCGTGGATTTCCACTCTCTTTCTGTTCTAAAATATATATAAAATTGATTGGGTAATCACCAATACAATTATTTTTTTTGATAACTGAAATGGTTTTAGGGGGAAAAAAAGATTTACTTAACAAGTCCTACTTGTAGGCCATGTTAATTGGTGAAACAGAATGCAGAGGTGAAATTACATATCTGCAAAGGAGAATATAAAGTCAAAGGACAAAGAAACCAAGCATTGGTTAATATACACTGTAAGAGGTCCTAATTGTCAGGTTTAATTAGCCTTCTGATATTATCATTTGCCTTTCATTTTAGCCCAGCTGAAACATGAGTAGGCTTTTGAAAAGGAACTCAGCTTGGTAAAATGTGTTTTAGCACCAAACTCGGTGTAAATGTTTATACAGGTAGTGAAGAAAACATTTGTGCTTTACCTGCAATAATATTTTTTAACCAGTATGTATTACCACTGTCCTTCAAACTATTACACTTACCTTTACTGGTTGCTTAGCTTCGGGAGAAGGGGTTGTTACAGCTGGATCAGGTGGACATGGAGCTGATTGGCTGGGATTGATCTGTAGACTGTCAGAAGAGGAGTCTTTCTTCTCTGGGGAAAGACTTCCCTGTACTTCACTTGTATTGGCCAAGTCACTGGATGAGGAGAGGCTGGTATTGGCGGATAGATAACTAGCATCGTGACTATTGGTTGTGGAATGGTTGACGTAGCTTGTGTTCCCTACATCTGATGGTCCAGATGTGGTGGGGGAATGAATGGTTGGTTCTGAGGAGCATTTAGGAACATTTTCTGATTCGTGATCCTTCATGGAAGGTTCTGTGGGAAGGCTCTCTGTGCTTAGAGCTGGTGATGGGCTGCCAGATGGAGGCTCTGAATGAGACAGACGGGAAGCCAGACCACTTGAGTGACAGGCTAAAGACAAAAGAAAAATAAAAGTAAACAAATAGGATGTGCACAAAGTGTACAGGTACAGTTGCACATGAACTGATATTCAGCAGATAACTGGATAAAAAAAATAGAAAAAACTGTCTTGTAATACAAAAAACACACACAATAAAGCCAGCCACACATGGATTGAAATTCAGCCAGTTCAGCAGAGACCAGCTGAATTTTGATCCATGTGGTTCTGTGGTGGAACTGTGGCTGCACAAAGTCTATCTACCAATGCTTTGAGTCACTGTCTGGGTACATACCAAACAGGAGCCTTGCTTCATGTGAGCAGCCTTACCAGAGGTTTCTTTTCATTCTTCTGAAACCAAACTGGGGATCCGGCTGTCAGAGCCGGGACTGTGAATCGCAACTACAAAGTGTCAGCTGCTGGTTCTCAATGTGGAGAACATATACTAATGTATTCTTTGCATTGGACATCATAGGGGGGAACATTGATATACAGATTGTGAGCACGAAGGGGATTAGTAACATTCCAATGCACTTGCTATACTTTGTTTTGGTGTCCAATTCCCATGTTGAAAACTGCTGTGCTGAACTCCCCACTACCCAACATACTTTTACAGTCCTGTGCTCTTGAAACATGAAAAAAGCATTCATACCCCTTGTAATTTTCCACATTTTCTCATGTTACAACCAAAAACATAAATCTTTTTAATTGGTATTTTATGTGATAAACCAAAGTGGCACATAACTGTGAAGTGAAAGGAAAATGATAGTTTTCAAAATGTCTTACAAATAAATATCCGTGCATTAGCGTGCTGTGCATTTGTATTCAGCCCCCTTTACTCTAATACCCCTAACTAAAATCTAGTGGAACCAATTGCCTTCAGAAGTCACTTACACCTGTGTGTAATTTAATCTCAGTATAAATACAGCTGTTCTGTGAAGCCCTGAGAGGTTTGTTCGAGAACATTAGTGAACAAACAGCATCATGAAGGTCACGGAATACACCAGAGAGGACAGGGATAAAGTTGTGGATAAGTTTAACCACTTCAATACACGGCACTTTTACCCCCTTCCTGCCCAGGCCAATTTTCAGGTTTCAGCGCTCTCACACTTTGAATGATAATTGCGCGGTCATGCAACACTGTACCCAAACTAACAGGTTATCATTTTATTCACACAACTAGAGCTTTCTTTTGATGGTATTTAATCACCACTGGGGTTTAACTTTTTTGCTAAATTAACAAAAAAAGATTGAAAATTAAAAAAAAAAAAATCCACGTTTTTCTTTGATATAAAAGTTTGCAATTAAATAATTGTTCTTCATAAATTTAAGCCACGATGTATTCTGCTACATTTCTTTGGTGAAAATAACCCAAATTAGTATTTATTTAGTCTATAGGAAAGTTATATAGTTCGCAAACTATATCTGAAAATTGATCAATCCTGAAGTACTGACAAGAAAGGAGATAGATTACATACATGCACCCATTTTGAGGTAGACCGGAATGGATACATTCCCACCGATAGTAGTCACTATCAAGGATGGCTTAAAGCCATCCCAGAGGGTCAGTTCATGTGGATCAAACGGAACTGAACGAAAAAGTGATTATAATGAACAGGCAGATATCCTGATTAAAAGATTTGAGGAGAAAGGGTATAGGGGTGGTGAATTGAGAAACATCAGGGACAAGATAGCTAGTATGGATAGGGATGATTTATTGAAGAAAGAAAATATAAAAAAGGAGATAATTTTGATCTAGCCTTTAGAACAGGCTTTTCTAAACAACATAGGTTGGTTGAAAACATCATTAGGAATCATTGGTCTGTTTTGTTGCATGAGGAGGCCCTGGGGAAGGTCTTCCCCAGAAAACCAAAATTCATTTATAGAAGACTGCCTAATCTTAGAACTAGATTGGTAAAAAATTTTCCTGATCCACCATCTAAGATGGTTACATTTTTAGATCAGATAGGATTTTACAAATGTGGTAGATGCATTGCATGTAGAACTATGGGAGCTAATAGTAAAAAAATGTTGAAATTTCAATCCCAGGTAAAAGGGGATATTTACAAAATTCATAAATTGATTTCATGTGATAGCAATCATGTTACATACCTTTTAGAGTGCCCTTGTCACTTACAGTATGTGGGGAGAACAATAAGGAAACTTGCTGTAAGATTAGGTGAACATATTAGGAATATCAAAAAGGGCTTCAAACATCATAGTTTATCCTATCACTTCAGGAAGTTTCATAATAGAGATCCATCTTTGCTCAAATTCTGTGGGATCGACAGGGTTGAATTCCTTTGGCGTGGTGGTGACATGAGGAAGTCGGTCTCACAGAATGAGACAAAGTGGATTCTTCAATTACAGTTGCAAGAAAAAGTATGTGAACCCCTTGGGATTACGTGGAGTTTTGCATGAATTGGGCATAAAATGTGCTCTGAACGTCATCTAAGTCACAACAATAGAAGAACACAGTCTGCTGAACATAATACTACACAAACATTAGATGTTGCCATGGTTTAATTGCACATAACATGTAAACATTCACAGTGCAGGGAGGAAAAAAAGTATGTGAACCTTTGGACTTATTAACTGTTGACCCTCCTTTTGGCAGCAATAACCTCAACCAAACGTTTCCTGTAGTTGCAGATCAGACCTGCACAACGATCTGGAGTCATTTTGGACCACTCCTCTTCACAAAACTGTTTCAGTGTAGCAATATTCTTGGGATGTCTGGTGTGAATCGCTCTCTTAAGGTCATGCTACAGCATTTCAATCGGGTTGAGGTCAGGACTCTGACTGGGCCACTCCAGAAGGCGTATTCTGTGCTGTTGCAGCCATTGTTTTGTTGAATTACTTGTATGCTTTGGGTCATTGTCCTGTTGCATCACCCATCCTCTGCGGAGCTTCAGTTGGCGGACAGATGGTCGTACGTTTTCCTGCAAAATGTCTTGATAAACTCTGGAATTCATTTTCCCATCAATGATAACAATCCGTCCAGGCCCTGAGGCAGCAAAGCAGCCCCAAACCATGATGCTCCCTCCGCTATGTTTCACAGTGGGGATGAGGTTTTGATGTTGGTGTGCTGTGCCTTTTTTTCTCCACACAGTGTTGTGTGTTCTTCCCAAACAACTCAATCTTGGTGTCATCTGTCCACAGTATATTTTGCCAGTAGTGCTGTGGAACATCCAGGTGTGTTTTTTTTGCAAACTTCAAACGTGCTGCAATCTTCTTTTTGGACAGCAATGGCTTCATCCGTGGTGTGTCCTCCCATGTACTCCATTCTTGTTTAATGTTTTCCTTATTGTAGATGTGTTAACAAAAATGTTAGCATGTGCCAGAGATTTCTGTAGGTCTTTAGCTGACACTCTGGGATTCTTCTTTACCTCATGCAGCATTCTGCGGTGTGCTCTTGCAGTCATTTTTACAGGACGACCACGCCTAGGGAGAGTAGCAACAGTGCTAAACATTCTCCATTTGTAGACAGTCTGTCTTACTGTGGACACATGAACATCAAGGCTTTTGGAGATACTTTTGTAACCCTTTCCAGCTTCATGCTAGTCAACAATTCTTGATCGTAGGTCTTCTGAGAGCTCTTTTTCTGCGAGGCATGGTTCACATCAGACAGTGCTTCTTGAAACCAGTAAACCCAAAACAGGTGTGTGTTTTTTAAGGGCAGGACAGCTGTCAGCAACACATCCAATATCATCACACTGATTGGAGTCAAGGTTGGCTTACTCCTGGCTCCAATTAGCTCTGGGAGAAGTCATTAACATAGGGCCTCACATACTTTTTCCTCCCTGCACTGTGAATGTTTACATGTTATGTGCAATTAAACCATGGCAACATCTAATGTTTGTGTAGTATTATGTTCAGCAGACTGTGTTCTTCTATTGTTGTGACTTAGATGACGTTCAGAGCACATTTTATGCCCAATTCATGCAAAACTCCACGTAATCCCAAGGGGTTCACATACTTTTTCTTGCAACTGTAGGTTCTTTGGCCCTAGGGGGCTTAATGTAGACATAGATCTAAATTGCTTTTTGTGCAGTTGGAAATTAGGGTTTTTTTCTTTGAAGTATTGTAGAATTTATATTTCATATTTTAAATTTATCTTTAATTATTAGTTTCTTGTTGATATATTTTTTTATTTTATTTTTTCATTTTTTCTATTTTTATTTGTTCATTTTTTAATTTTTTCTTATTTTTATTTAATTTTTTATTTTTATTTCATTTTTGCATTTTTATCTCGTGTATATATATATATATATATATATATATAAAATCTATTTATTATTTTGCTTAATTTTTTTGTTTAATTTTTTTTTATTAATTTTTTTTTTTAATATATATATATATATATATTTTATTTATTTTTTCATTTTTTTATTATTAGATTTTTTTCATTTATTTATAGTTATTGAATTTTTTTGGGTTAATAATAAAAAGTTTTTTTTTGGTTAGATTATTATTTAGTGATGATATCTTATATATTGTTTTGGTCCATGGTAATTTCAATTGTTAATTTTAAATGACCTTCCAGCAGGGTATTCACTATGTAAGGAGATCGATTGGCAGCAGGGTAGTTTACTTAGTAGTCTGTTGACATAGAAGGATGTTGAGAGTGGAGATTATCCTAATATATTTCACCCATTAAATTTAAAGTGATTGAGAACCGGAGTTTCTTGTCCGTGACGACGCCTTGTGGGAAGGCGTAACATGTTGACGTAATGTTCAGTTCCGACCCTGAACGTGTGACGTCATATCTGGTGAGTGGAGCGCACGCTGATACGATGTTCCGTGGCCAGCTTTAGTGTGGGCAAAACTATCTGAATTCTACACTTTTGCCAGTTCTTCACTGCCAATGCTGATCAACTGTGTCTGCCTAGCTGAAATTGTCAGAAGGGCTAATGGAACAAGTTTAAAGGAGTCCTGATTTATTTAAAATAAGGCTTTACAGATGAAACTCAAAAAATTAGAATATCGTTCAAAAGTTCATTTATTTCAGTAA